TATAATAAAATAATTAAAATAATATAAAAAGTTAATTTAAATTATTTTTTATTTAATATAAAAAAATTATAAAAATTTAAATGATTTTATTAAAAGTAATTATTAATTTTTATATTAAAATACAAATCTTTTTACATCAGATTATACTTTATATAATCTATTATAAAACATCAGGATTAAAGATAGTAATAATAAAAAAGTATAATAATAAATAATTATTATTTATATATAGATAGACTAGATAAAGTTAGATTAATTTATATTTTTGAATGAATATAATTAGCTCATATAATTTTAAGAAATCTATTTTAAATCTTATTTTCAAAAATTATCTTTATAATTTAATATTACTTAATATAAAAAGTAATATTTAAAGAACTGATAATAATAATATAAAATAAAAAGAATTATATCAAATAATATAATTAATAAATAATAATAATAAATTTTTATATAAAATATATATATTTCTACAATATATTACTGGAAATTTAATATTGATCATTCAATGAATTAAAGTTTTTATTATTGAATAAAAAATTATCATATTTATTAAATATACAATAAATTAAAGAAAAATAAAATAATGAATATATAGTTATATTAATTCAAATTTAAGAATCTACAAATTAATATGACATGCTTTTGCCATTGACTTTAATAACATGTCTAGATAGACTTAAAATTAATCTATGTAAAGTTTTCAAATTAATGCTTACTTATTTCTCTTGTAATATATAAATTAATTCTTGCTTTAATATAGATAACAATCTTCTTTTTTGAATCTGATGATCCAAAATATCTCATAAATGTTCAATTAGATTGAGGTTAGAACTTTGATCAACCTAATTCAAAAGTTAAATGTCATGTATTGACATTTATCAAGTCATATATATTGAGATATGACATGATATATCATCTTGTTAAAATATAATATATGAATATTGACAAGCCCAGAATACAAAATAATTAGTGAGAATATTAATATAAATATTTAAATTTATGATTTTTTCTATTAATATCAAAGGATCAATCCTATCTCAACTAAAATACTTTCAAAATATCACTGATTCATCATCAAATTTGATAATAGATTTAATACATTCTTGATAATAAGCTTCATCAGATTTCTATTATACTCTTACCTCATTATCTGATTCGAAAAATGCAAATTTAAACTCATCAAATCAAATTATATTTTTCTATTGCACTTTCTAGTCATATTTTTTCTGATATTAATTTAATCAATAAAGTTCTTGATTTGAGATTAGTATAACTTCCAAATCCTATTTCATCCATGTATTTGCAAATAGTATTAGCATAATAAGTAATGTTGAGTTTGTCATTTAGTTTATTTATAATTTCACCAAGTGAAGAAAACCAATTTTTTAGAATAACTCATTTTAATATATGCTTTTCATTATTGGTCAGAGTTTTTGACCAATCAGAATGTTTTTCAGGATGCGGGGAATTGATTTCTTTATTTCATTTGATGGTATCATATACTGTTGCTTGAGGAATATTGAATTTAAGTGCAAGGTTTAGACCTTTGACGCCAGCGAGATAAGCGCCGATTATTTGCTCCCTTTGTTCGTTCGTCAACTCCTTTCCGCGCATTATAAAAAAAAGAAAAAATGGGATTGTTTTTTGTTTATTTGTTACGTTTGTGTTATTATGTACGATGCCAATAAAATTGGCTTTTTAAACTTTGGATCGGCATTTTGCACGTGTATACTGTATATAATTATTTATCAATATTGTGTTTAGTGGATCCCCTTAAACGAGTAAAAACTTATTCGAATAAAATTATTTTATTCGTCGATTATTAAGTTCGTTCACTAATATTTACACGAAAGACGAATTGTCTTTCATAAATATGAATAAACAAGGAATTCCGTTTCTGTCGTTCACTCCCTTTGAAGAATCGCTCAATAAAAAAAAAAGGAAACGAGAACAACCAAAAGAAATTGTGTTTGATGAAACTGCGCGAAAGTAATTTTAACAATTTTTTTCTGGTGAACAGATTAAGCGTATGAATTTGATCACTTATTTCATTTTTATTTTAAAATTTTTTCATATAGAGAATTTCTAACTGGTTTTCACAAACGAAAACTGGAACGTCGTGCCAAAGCGCAAGAATACGCTAAACAGCAGGCAAAAAGGGAGCACGTGCAAGCTGTTAAAGAGGTATTTTCTTATTTAGCGGACACAATTTGCATCATATAATCGTATAATGATGTAATATTGTTATCGGGACAAATATTATAATCAGCAACGAGAAGCACGCCAAAAAGAAGTAAAAGAACGGCTAGAAAAACTTCAAGCGATAATTGATGGTACGTGTTAATTATTTGTTATTAAGATTATTTTTACGTTAGTATTAATGTTGTATTTTTTATATTGTACAAAGAAACTTATGGAATGAGAAAAGAAAGTGGAAATGAAGATGGAGAAGATAAATTCAATAATAATTCAGAAGATATTACTGATGATGATATAGAAGAAGAAAGAACAAATAATAAAAAAATAATAAAATTAAACACTCAACAACTATCTGACACGAAAGAATATAAGACTCGTGATACCTTGACGACAGTCACAATTGTTGAGGACTTTGAGATATCAAATATTAATTACAACGATAACAACACTGATATTAATCATAGAAATAAACATAATGCCACTAATATTGAGAAATCTAAAAAGTCTAATAAAAAGTTTACAAAAAAGAAAATAAGAGGATAATAACAACTATAAATTCGTTTGTTAGTTAATATTATTATTCGACAGCAGCAATAATAGCATGTTTATTTGATGTGTATTTTGTGATTTTGATAATTCAAATTAATCGATTAATTAAAAATTAGTAATTTGATTGAACAAATTTCAATAGATAAAAAAGATTATCCAAAAATTATATATACAAAATTTTAAATGTTCAAGCTTGGATTGTCACGTGATATAGAACCTTCAAGGCGATTATAGGCGGGAGCGACCATCCTCGAAACTACTGGCAAACAAGATATTCCTCCTCGTGAGATTATTATTACTTGATAATGCAGATGATGAGCGTAGTTCCGTCGAATCCCCACGATACCTACCATCATTATTACTCCAGATACCCCCTAATACATTAGCACTATCACCATCAATTCTCTTTCTTCTTTTGTTAATAGCCAGTTTCATAGAAATTAAACTTCGCCCCCAATATTTTTCTCCTGCAGCGTCAAGAGTAGTTATTAGCTTATCCACAATTTTAGATGGATTTTCGACAAAGCTAATATTACTGTTATTGATGTTGGAATGGAAGGAACGTGGCATTGTCACAATACTAGTGTTATCATCTCGTCTTCTGTTTTTCTGATAATGAGAAATTGGAACGGGAGATGGTTGTATTATTGTTGATGGTATGGAAGTATCAAGTGTAGTATTAGGATTTTTAGCTAGTGTAGTGCCATTATTTTTTTTATGTGGGGGAAAATATGATAACTGTGCTGATGACAACTCTTGTATTTCAGCACTTGTAAAACCTAAATTTGTCGTTGACGTTGAAGATAATGATTTTGATGTTGATGCCACATCACCTCCTGCAACGTCTCCAACACAATTACTAGTTGTTGACCATATAGTGGATGTTGACACATTGGATAATTTCCGATCATGACAAAATTCATATGTTTGATGTGACACTCCTGGCAACAATGTTTCACGATCATAGAAAGTAAAAGGACTACTAGAAGGAGAAGACGAGGGGGAAGACATTGAAGGTCTCGAGGAATCAGATGTGAACGATGAATGATAGTTATTATTATTGTTCTTTGAAATGTGGATTCGATCATTCTCCAATATTACTGTTGTTCTCCATTCATTATTATCATCGAATTTACATTCATCAAGTGGTATATATAGATATTTATGCATGTGAATAGAATCGTTTGTCCAAAGTTTATTGGCCTTCTTCAGTATTGGCAGCTAAAAAAAAATAAAGCGATTTGATAATCTGCGCGTTAAATCATTTAGAAACGCGTAAATAAAATTTATATCCACCAACCTCAATTCCGTAAAATAAAGCAATTCCAGCCAAAGTATCTGTTTTCTTAACTTCATGTACAATAACAGTTTTACGTGCTAGTTCTTTTTTGGATCGACATTCTCTCTTATATTGGGCTTTTTCATTTAAACCATCAGTCGAGCTACTGTCAAGAGAAGCATATGCACGTCTTTGACGAATGTTTGCATGAGACGACGACGATTCGTTTTCTTTGCCATAATTACTATAAAAAAATGTTGGTGACATGGGCGAGGTACTTAATTCGTGATTAAGCGGGTGTGAATTGGTCGGAATTGGCGCTAGCTTCGTCTTTTTCTCATGTGAGTATGAATTTGTGGTGCGCGATCCATAATTATTTGTCTCGTACGGATTATCAATGTTATCTAGTGAAAACGAGTAACTTTCGGCACTAGACAGCAACCGGGGACTGGAAGACCATAATAAAGCAGAAGATGTAGCAGTTGTAGTAGCATCTAATGAAACATTCATAACTGTATTTTCTATTATTTCTATTTCTAGATTTGCTTTTCTATTTTCTTTTTTTATTATTTCTAGGTGTTGTCCTAAAGGCTCAGCGGTAGTTCATAAAGAATATTTTGGTTGTCCAGATGGCAATTTCACTATTGTCGCATTGAAGAAATAACAGTCTAGAATAAATGAATAGAATGTGGCTTGCTTTTATAAATAAATATTGTTTCAATGTGTCAATGATAAACGAATGATAATTATTTAACTATTATTTATTTTGATGCAGTATGCATGTAAATTTTAACAAATATTAGTGTTCGATTATATAAGATAAATTAGGATATAAGGATATTATGATATTTTATTACATGTATATGCCTAAATTCAATGATCAGATTTTTAAAATATAGCCTACATAACGGATGGGTAATATTATTATTTCCTGATGATCTCCGGAAAGAATCAAGGCTCCGTCAAGCAAAGCCCGGAGAAAAATTTCCCGAGCACCATTTTTATCTCACAATCTGAGATAATAAATCAAAAAACAAGAAATATAACATGAAAAACTATTTATAAAATGCTCACTATCAATTTTATTAATATCTGATAACTAGATCTATACTTCAAAAACTTGCAGCTGGGTGTGGGAGTGTTCAAAGAATCTGAGAATGTGCAAGTGTCGAAGTTGTGGGGCTGTAATAGATTGAAAATGATATAAAAATAGATTTAAAAATTTTGTAAATAAATTATTATTTATCATAAAACTTTTTGAGATTGAAATAATAAAGATGAATCTTATTGATTTATAATTTGATTTTATATTATAATTAATTATCTTATTTCTAAAATTAATTAAAAAAAATTTTAAAAAATAAAAATAAAAAAAATAAAAAATAATAATTATATCTAGTAATTAATACTTAATTAATTATTTTATTGATAATATTTACAGTTATTTTATCATATCTTAAAATAGCATTTCAATATATAATAATATAACAAATTTATATTTATTTTATATACATGATTTTTAAAGTTTCTTATTTTTATATTTATTAACATCTTTTTCTTATATAAGTATTTATATAAAATTTAAGTTAACTTTAATAAATTAAAATTTTATTTAAACTCATTATAATAAATTAATATGTGAATTCTTAATATAAAAATAATAATATTAATTTTAATAAATAATTATATTATAAATATATTTTATCAAGTTTATTTAATATTTTAATAATTACTTTTAAGAATAATTTGAATATATTTTAATTAGTAATATATAATTAAGAATGATTTTAAGTATTATTAATTTTATCTTATACTTTTTTTAGTTTGATATTCTTATTAATAAATAATAACTTTTTTTTTTGTATTTAACAAATAAAAATTGTATTAATTATAAAAATATCTTGAAAAAGTTTATATTTATTAAAGATTATATTATCAAAAAAAATTATGAGTTTTATAATATAAAAAAAAGTATATATTAAATAAGATTAAAGATAAAATAAAAGAGTAATTATAATGAATAATTATAATTTTTAAAATTATTTTATAACTTATTTATTTTAATAAAATTTTAAATTCTAATTATTTAAAGTTAATATTTAATTTGATGTTATTAATAAGTTTGTAAATTAAAAATTAAAAGTCAAGAAGTTATTTTTACTTAATATTAAAAATATAAATATAGAGAAATTCTTTTTTAATAATAATAATATAATAATAATATTATTATTATTAATATTAATATATTATAAAAATAAGTATTAAAAAAATATTTTAGTTATAATCTTTTTTTACTTTAATTATTAATATAAAATATTTAATAAAATATTAAGTTTTTAATTATTTAATATACAAATAATATATAAAAAAGAAAAAATATAGTTTATAATTTTTGATTTAAATTTTTATATATAATTTTTATTAATAATAATTCTAAAAAATCTTTAAATTTAATTAAATAATAATTTTAATTAAAATTTAATAAATTAAAAAATAATTTTAATAATATACTTAAATATTATATTATTTAACTTTAAAAATTAATATTATATTTGATAAAATATCTTAATAAATATTAGTTTTAATTTAATATTAAATAATACTATAAGATAAATTTATATAAAACTTTATAAATTTATAAAATTAAGTAGATTTATATAAAATTTTAAAATAATATTAGTAATTTTAAGTAATAATAATATTAATATTTATAAGTTAAAGTATAATAAAGAATATTTATTTATATAAAATATAATAAAAAAATTAAAATTATAATTTTATATAAATTTATTAATATTATTATCTTTTTGATATGAGTATTAATATAAGAAGCAAATATATTTTTAAATTATCAAAAATATATATTTTTGTTAATAACTATAATATCAGATAATTCTTTATAATATATTAATAAGAATATATTTTTACTAAAGATTATTAAAAATAATTTCTAAAGATAGATAACAATAATATTTTTTAAATTGATTAGTTAGAATATAATTTAATTTCAAAGTATATTTCAAAAACAGATATATAATCAGTTTATTAATAAGATGAAATAATAGATCTTTAATTAGGATTTATTTTATAAAAAATATTTTTTAGAATTTTCTTTAATTATAATCTTTTTTTAAAATGTGAATTAAGAACTAAACTCATAAAATTCAAATTAAACTAAATAACTAATTAATTATTTAACTAACTTTCTTTACTAGTCAAGATATATCACTTTTATATATTTTAGAAATTATATAAATAATACTTTTATTATGATACTTATACTATTTTTATCATAATTTAAATATTACTTTAACTAATATTATAATATTAATTTTATTATAATAGTATTATTAATTTTGTTATAATAATTTGCTAACTTTACTATAATAATGTTATCATGATTATTATATTTGCAAAATCTTTTAAAAATATTTACAAATAATATTTTTTTAAAGCTAATATTCAATAAAATATAAGTAATTATTCATCTAATTATATTATGATATAAAATAACTAATAATAAGTAATTAATATTTTACTAAAAGTTTATATTATAATAGAATTCTCTTCATTAGCATTTTACTTTATAAAATTTAAGACTAAATGTCAAGTTTTTATAAGACTTAGCAATTTTTCAAAGTTATTATTAATTATTCTTTTTAATTTTGTTGATAATAACTTTTTTAAACTTAAAATTACTTATTCTAAAATATATTGAAATAGTTTGCTAGCTCTACTGACAATTTTTCAATATCAAAATATTAAGTTTTTAGTTATTACTTGTAAGAGTTTGTTGTATAAGAATAACTTCTTTCTGGTTGAGTCTGTGATGATAATAATATCTACTATTTTCTAATCTATTTATAATATATTAAAGTTGATATTTCTATTAGATAGAGTATTATACTTAGTTGTAAAATATTATTTATTATAAATAACTTTTATTTAATTACTTGATAGAATTTATATCTTTTTTTATTTTATTTATCCAAACTCTTTTAAAATATTATCAATACATAAATTAAGAATAAAAATTATCTTGAAGAATATCACCTTAGAAATAAATATTATAACAAGATAAATATAATTAAAGTAAAATAATATAATTGATTATAATTACAAAAATTCTAGATTAATATATTTTTCAGATAAATTATATAAAAAAAGATCTTTTAGACAAATAGATTTATAATATAAGTTGATTTTCATGTCTAATTTCTATATTACAGTGTATAATTCTATAATTTCAGTCATATTATTACTAATTTAGGAGTTTATATAATCTTATATCATATCAGATAATTGCTCAGTTACATAATTTCTATTAGTACTTTCTATATTAATTTGAATTTTATATCTATTTACTGTTCTATAATTAATTTCTTCTTTATTTCTATAATAAAACTATACTTTTTTATTATTTATTTTAATATTATTAATAATATGATTTCTCTATAAATTTTCTTGAATTTAAGTAGGTGAGAATATTATTTTATTACTGATATTTATTCTCTATTTTTCTTTATCATTGTTAGATAAGTTTATTTTATTATTAAATCAGAAAGCATTATTTTTTTTATTATCTTTTATTTCTCTATTTTTATTTTATCTATATTATTATTATTATTATTATTGTAATATTAAATTATAAAGATAATTATTATCTAATCATGAGATATATTATTATAAAACTTTTCTTTCTCAAAATTTAAAATTTCAAGAGTTAAATAATATAAAAGACAACTGTGATATTATATTATTATTTTTCTCGTTATTTTTATTTCTGTTAATTATTGATATTTATAAAATATTAGCTATATTTTATTTTTATTTATTAATAGCTTTATTAGTAATTCTATTATCTTTCTTATTTGTTTCTTGAATTAAAGATAAGTTATTATTTCTTTTATTTTATTCTTAATTATTTGATTAGTAATCAGTAGGTTATTATTATCATAGTAATATAAATTTCTTTAATTTTATAATTTTTTAAACTTGAAAAATTCAACTAATTAGTAGATCTTTAGAAGACATATGATTTTGAATAATATAATTAATGTATCTATTATGAATTTAATCATGATTCAATAATATTTTTATAATATTCTTATAATATTTTAATAACACTTCAAGATCATAAATAAACAATTAGTTCAAAAGTCAATAACAATTTATAAATAGTTTAATAATGATTCAAAAATGCTTTAGAAACAATTCAGCAATAAATTTTATTTATTTTTATTATTATCTTTTTCTTTTTAGAATATTTATCTTATCTTTTCATTTTATTTTATTAT